TTTTTAAATTGAATTCGCAAAAAAAAAAAAAAAAAAAAAATGCATTAACATACTAAGTGCCATATTTATAATAAAAATATGGTATTTTTATAAAATAAGGAAGTAAGTCTGTGTTTTTTTGTAAAATAATAAATAATCATTTCTTTTGAACTTTTCAATAGTGAAACTATTTAAGATCAATAACTGTGAGACGTTAAGTAAAGAAAAAAACAGTGATTCTAACGCTCCACAATTTAGCAGAGAGGTGTACTAAGCCCTAACTTGATTTCATGGGAGTATATTTAAATATCTAATCACTACTCAACTATATTGATATTATGTAAAACTAAAAGTACATAGATATACTTAGATATCTACTTATGGATACTTAGATTTTGGAATTACTAAAACAACAAATATATATGAATGATAAATTAAGACTAAATGGGGAATATATACCGTTTGGCCCAACATGGTGAACCTGAGTTAAAATAAGATGGTTGGAAGAAATGTGTGTCAAATTGATAAAGATCGATAAGTTGGGCCTAAGCAGGCACCCCAGTCAAACTCTTCACTAAACCGCCTTCCTTTCCTTTCCAAAATGATTTTTTGGAATGTCAATAACAAGGATCATCTGATGTAAAGTAACCAAATAAAATATGCTTCATTTTATTATTTATTATTAGCTAGCAGCTATTCACATCTTAAACATAGGCGCAAAGATAAAATATTATTAAAGGGGGAAACTTATTTCGTTGAAGGATTCTATCAGTTGGTATGAATTGCGCCTGCTAAGGCTCTTCATACATTCTTAAATAAAAAATCTTATACATCTATCCACTTTTATTATTGTCGATATTCTCTTCTTCTACAACAGTTTACAACATTCCTAGCGTACTATAATTGAAAATACGCTATTACATGTGAAATATAATGATAAAAAAATTTATTTTGAAGAAAAAAAAAAAATGCTTTTAAATTATTCAACATGGCCAAACAATGGTCTATAACCAAGTTCCACTGATTGGACCGAATGAAATAAGCAATAATTTTTTCAATGATATAAAATATAATATTACTATAAAGCTGAGTAGAATGAAACAAAAAGAAAGATTTGAACAATGATTCAATCTTTTTTTCTGGATCTCAAATGAGAGAGCAAGTAAAGCATGTCCAGCATGAGCTAGCCAATTAAGCAAACACCTGTCAACTAGTTTTTCTACATTATCCTTTGAAAAAAACTTTTAAAGTATCTGAGATGTAGTTCTCATTATCAGTTTAATTCGCTATTTAATGGGCCATTCAACCAACTTTTTTCTTACATTTTACTTAATTTTGTGATTGACCACAGTTTTGTATTCACTTGTTAAAGAGAGTCGGGAGGATAAATTGATTTTGGATCCTATAAAACAGCTTTCAGTAGTAAAATAATTAAACTTATTCAGTTCATGATCATGTTATTAAATAATTAATATTAAATCTATTTGTAAATCAAAACTTGCTTTTTGGATACCATATTTTTCATTATAATATTTTTTTAGAAATATATATATATATATATATATATATATATATATATATATATATATATATATATATATATATATATATATATATATATATATATACATTAAAATTTCTGTTTGCCCAAAAAAATTACTGTATCTTCCTCTTTTTTTCATATGTTGTCAGATGAAATGTTTACCCGACCTGGAAATGAAGCAGTTGACATTTAAGTGGCTCAATGCATGCTATAATCCATTATCCTTACAGTATTTTGGCTCCTCATATTTATACACTCAATTTCCGAAATCTCCCGATAAAATTATATCAACAACAGTAAATTTTAAAAGTATTCTTATTTAGTGTATGAAAAACTCATTAATGCAAAGCTAATAAGAAAATGAGAGTAACTGGCATTGGGTAATTTCTCCGTTTACTTTACCTTACCTTACCTAGGTGGCGCTATAACCCTGGCTGGATCTTGGCCTCCTCAATATCTTTAATATCAGCGTTTAACAATTGAAAAACGAGCCTAATTTAGTCTTCATTTTTTTTTTTTTATCGATTCAACTAAACGTATTTTCATTTTAGGTGAATGAGGAAAAAAGAAATAACTCAATTCTGTATTTGTATTACTCATTGGAGACGATGTTGACTAGAATATACCTTTGTCTCTAATCCTTTTGTCAAAATACAATCTTTAGTCAATTTGTACTACAATATATATATATAGTGTAGTATGGTGTTTTTTGTCGATGGTTTTGCAATATCGATCAATAAACGTGTATATATATATATATATATATATATATATATATATATATATATATATATATATATATATATATATATATATATATATATATATATGTATATATATAATTCTTTATGCATGTTGCAAACCATTGACTAAAAAATACTGCAGACAAAAAAATATATATAGCTAAAATACTGGATGTTTGTGGTCCCAAAAGAAATTTCCAAGTTTGTGGCTGTATACAAAAATATGTAGACATAAGAAGCCTTCAGTATAAAAAGAAATAGGAATTCCATATAAAGAGGATCACCCTTTGTTGGAATGTTATATTATTTGAGACGAAGTGGATTTTACATTCTCACACGTTCCTTTCTCGGAAGGTTCGATTGTTAGAGAAGTAGGAGCTTCTCATTTATTGAGGCTTGTTTTAGAACCACTAAATGCTTGCTGGTTTAAAAATACTTGCCTGACCACTTTTTAACAGTTTAACTTTTTGCTTGAGTAGTTAAATTTATAATTTCATCTTTTGATGCACGGAAATCACCAATTAAATGAATGTTTATTCCATCCATCGTATTAGAAATCGCCTTCTTTCTTATCTTTATTCGCAAATTTAACAGCCCCTTCATATTAATGAATTCAAGTAATTTTCACAAGTTATTTTTTTATTATTCTTTTAAAATTAATTAATTCATTTACTTATTTGAATGAGACCATTCGAAGAAAAACGATTGGATCCGTTAACTGAAAATTAAGTAACTTTTTCTTCTTTTTTTTTTTTTACCATTTTAAACGTAATGTTAAAAATAGTATTCATGGTCTTGTATGTTATGTCTTAGTTTAATGTTTATTAATTTTACTTCTTTTCAAACGTATGTAATCCGTATATTAAAAATATTCGTAAAAACATTCTTTAATTTAATATTACTGAGTAATATTCCATAAAAAGTAAAAAATGTTTAAAAAAAAAACCTTTCTAAATTGCGCAGGTTAGCTAGGGAGGGAAATGTTTTTGTTTTGTTTTTTATCTGTTGGCTACAAAAGCTCTGAGACTAGGCAGGTTTCATCCCCTGGCTCAGTTTATATCTATTTCCATTTACTACGAGGCGGCAGCCCCAATAGTAAATGGAATAGGCATTCGCAAGGGCCAAGGCAAAATAGTCATTCGCCCCACCGATAACAGTACCATTACCGAACTGTTATCAATTCACTGATACTTCCGAAACCGTAAAAAAAAAATTATTGCTACCGCTGTAATTTTATTTAGAATAATGTTAGGCCCCTCGGCTTAGAGACGTTGATTGTCAAATCAGCTTGGAAAAGTAATTCGAGAAGGATATGATAAATCGGCTCCTGGTTGGGATTGGTTATTTCTCATCAAAGCCGTTACGGGTAATCAAGTCGTACTTTCCAAGCTGGAATTGTTGCCTTTATCAAATAAACACTTTAATTGCGTAGGTATTTTTGTAAGCATTATATATTAATTACGGACTTTGTTATTGAATTAATGATAAAATGAAATTGATTAATATTTCTTGGTGTTAATGAACTAAGTAAAAGTTAAACAAAGTTAGATACTCGTTACTTTGCTCAAAAAAAACGGAAAAATATCTTAAACAATAATGAGCTGTTGAATTCCTTATTAATCCCCTCTGTCTCCTCGAGCGAAATCATTTTCAGTTTTTTTCAGTATTTCGTAACGAAATGTAGAAGAATGTTAATATGAGTGTGAATAGCTCAAAATACTCTTACGAAGCATTGCTGCTTTCAAAGTACTCAGAGTGTACCCAAAATTATTGAAACAATATTGAATCTCTATTTGAGAGATCTCACCATTTCATCCTCTTCAGCTGGCGTCAATGTATCAAATATATGAATACTTTGTACATGGTAGATTTATAGTTTTTGGTGCACTCATAAATACATGCTTAGAGGATAATCATCTACATAAAATGCAACTTTAACTCAGTCCGTTTTCCCAATTGAAATCAACAAAATAATTTTGTTTTACTTAAAGGTAATGTGAATAACAGTATTTGATGTTGATCAAGACGGGCTACGTTTTAAGAAGAGCTATCAGAGATCATCACATGTATAGAGTTTTTTTTTTCTTCATCTCCCTATTGAGTATTATAACAATCTGACAGAGTTTTTAAACAATTCCATCTAACAAGAAATTAAAATAGAATAAACACAATCTAGTTTAGTGACAATTGCTTCACAGCGGTGATAAAAACAGGCAAGCTGATAAAAAAGCTTGAAAATTGATTTAGTTTTTTTTTCGTTGTGTAATCCCAGTTATAAAAATATACCAAAGGCTATCCTTGTATTAAGGTACTGTGATAGGAATGGTTCCATATTATCAACAGCTGTGAAATTATGACCAGACTCAATGAGTTATTCCCTCTCAGTCGAGTGCTCCCTAGAAGAAAGGCTACGACAAAGCTACCATGAATTAATAATTGTATCCAACAAAAATATTAAGATAAAATATAAAAATGTAAATATATAACGAAAATATTGTTTTATACATTCCCATTAATACAGTATTCAGCCACCTTAAATTTAAAAAAAAAATACAATAATACATTATTTTTGGGCAATCGACAGTATCTAACAATTCTCAAACTAATTTTCCAAACTAAAGCATTATTCATCATCTACCCGATCCAAGCCAAAGCCAAAATTACTAGTTATAAAAATGCTACAGTGTATAAACTCGATTGCCGAAGAATAATGAGTTTAATACTGTGGACTCTTATTATTTTTGGAACATTACCTGATTTTCTGAGTTGAGTAACTTGAGTTGATCATTGATGAGGCTGTATTTGGCCGATTCCTCTTTGCGTAAAGCTCTTTCTTTTTTCAATTCCGGACTCCAAAACGTCTTGATACTGTGCATACTTGAGCCCAATTTTTGATTAGTCAATTCTAACTCTTTCTTCAAATTGGCCAATTCTCTTTGTAGGTCGGTGTTTTGGCTCTGTAGCTCCCCGAGGTAGCTGCCACCGTCCCTAGCGGACATCATGTGGGTGTTGGGAGATTGCCTAGCCGACCGCGGGCCGTAGAGGTCTTCCTCAAGATAACCTCCGCGTTCCATGCTCCGTTCCCGAGGGCCTACCCTGTCCAAAGACCGGTCCCTGATTGGCATGAATTCCCTATCCTGGCCTTCCGGACCCGTCCCTCCCGCACGATCTAATGATTGGTAACGGACTGACATGGGATTACCTCCCATCGGCCTACTGGCACTCCTAGACCTGTGATGTGAGCCGCTAGAAGCCATACTCCTCCCCCTGTCCTCCATCATAGGACTGCCTAAATCCTCATCACCTCTATAATATTGCCCACTCATAGGTTGATAACCATGATGTTCCGGCGATGTATTTCCTGAACGCGGCCTACCTTTTCTACCGACCGGACTTCCCCTGCTTCCTCCGGCAGGATAATTCCTCGAAGGAGACCTGTCGACGGTTGGTAACTCTCCTAAACGCCGGGCGCTCCTCGGTGATCGACTCCCGCTCCCACCTAAGTTCTGGCCGTAAGGTTCCCTCGACATGATCGACTGGCCTCAGGCGCGCCTAGCATGGTCAGGTCCTACCTCACTGCCGCGCTCACTCTCCTCCGCCTCCCCACCACCGTTTTCTCGGGCCTGCGCTCCGCCTTTTCTCTTGATCAATGAAACTGTGCCGTCCCAGTTAGCGGGATTTTATTTTCGCCCCTTTCTAAACTTACACTTCACCTACTCTAAGATACCATATTCCAATGCGAAATTGTCTTCACTTTCGAATAAAAAGTAGGCATACGTGTCTAAATTTTTTTTGAATTTCTAAAAAAAAACTTAGAAAAAAGTGTCACTTTGTGTTAGTGCCTCGCCAGGACAGGATTCATAACTTAATCTACGTCACAAGTCTAATGTTGATCAATGGAAATTACTACGAGCTCTTATTCATTTTTAGACAGTTACTAAATCATTCAAAGGTGGAATTATGGTACAGAAGCGATCAGAAAGGTAGGAATAAGTTCTTTGCCATTACACCCGGCTATACGTTTGAATTTTAATAATGTTTTTATATCCTTCATTGTTTGAAGATATCAGCTAGCGATAATATTTAATATCCGGTATCGGATTGAGCGGATACATGACCTATTCAATTGATGAACTCATCGATGAAGTGGATCATGGATAGGGGTAGTTGGTTTTTCCTGGCTGTTGCTGTTTAAATGAGTATTGAAGGGAGGGGGAAGAAGGTTGGCACCCCCACCTCACACGCTCAGATTAACTTTTTATTAGACCCCCCTCCCTATCCCTTCCCCACCTCAAAGTTACAACCTGTCTTCAGAGTTCTATTTATCGCCTCAGGGAGCCACTTTACCAGTCCTTTCTTTAAGTAATATTTTTTTTTTCGAATTCCACTTTCTTGAATATTAAGTGTAATTTTATTAAAATTTGTATTCAGTCTTTCTTCAGTTTCAGAATTAATTTTCTTTGAATTTTTAAAAATTGGTTTCATTTATTTTTAACGAAATCAAAAATGGGATTCATATTTTTCAAACAATCTATATTTCCATTAGTTGAGATATATTCATACAAATGCATTATACTTTCATAAATTTATTTTTCATACGGTTAAATAGAAATCTTTCCTAATCAAATCATTGATATGTTATATATATATATATATATATATATATATATACTCTTTTTAACTAAAAAACCATTGATAATTCTTGGAAATGTTATAGTTGTTTTAAGTTTTCAATCGAATATGGACTTGAGATAAAAATCAAGGAACATTATTTATTTACATTAAACAACTAATTTAACGAATGATGAAAATATTTGAATTGTTACAAAATATTTTATTTGTACACGATTCAAAGTACAAAGGTCCATATTTGGCTTCTTCCCACGCGTCAGAAGTTGATTATTAATTTAGACTGCATTTTTAATCAATTGGAAATTTAGATTTGTATTCAGAAGTCCTGATAGTGCTTCTAAATTAATAAATTTATTTAACAATTTATACGTGTTTAGGGATACATGGAGATAATTAAATATGTCTATAGTTAAATGAGAAATGATATATTATATAACTTTTTTTTTATTTTGGCTAATATAGGTCACGATGAAATATATTATTCTTAGCCAACAATACTTTAAATAAGAAAAACATAACGTAATGTGGTGATAACATTGTACAAAAATGTCATTTGCCTTCAATTCGTGGCCCCATTATGAAATCATTATATTGCTGTTGTGCAAATATGTTCCTGCCAATAAAAATATATATATATATATTTACATTTCGACTCTGTAACTAATAATCAAATATGCTTCGTGCATACAGTAGTTTTAAAGTAAAATTATTTCGTTCGATTCATTTGAAATATAAATGATTAAATATAATTTAAAATCATATTGCAATGAAAGGAGTTCAATTTGATTGACGGATAGTCTAGGTATTGAATGAAAAAAAAATTTTTTTTCTTTTTGTGACCTCAAGTTGTTTTTTCATACAAAAACTACTTTTCACCAGTTTTGAAAATTTTTTTTTTTTTTTTTTTGCTATTTCAGATGTGCAGGACACATTTATTATTTCCTTAAATTCAAATGCTAGTATATGTACCGCCCAAGCGAGTACTCCTTACTCATTACTTTAAGGTACTTCAATCCACATTTAACCAGTACCTTACCTATCATCCAAATCCCTTTGCACAATCCCTATCCAGCATAACCCATCCCTACAACCCTCCTCGAAGGTTGAAGCGGTGGTAGTGGCCCAGAGACCTTCTGTGAATAAGTATATATTGGAGTTTCGGCAATGGCCAGATTCTCTCCGCAAGCCATGTATGTGTGGCTATAGCGCCTCTTCTCAGCCATAACCAAATTTTCGAATTTTCACAAATTTTCATCACCATAATAATAGCATTAATCTCGTTTCTGTAATTCATTAAATCGTTTTGCTACAGCTAAGGAAAATAAGTATGGTATTTTTCTTAATACTATTCTGGGGGTTGGCGTACGTACGTATTTATACCTCTAAAGTGTTCAAAAAAAATATATATAATAACTTCGTAATATAATAAATAATATATAATATAATAACTTACTGTATTAATTTTAATTTTATATTATTAAATTTGTAATACTGATGATTGTGAGTACATTTTAGAAAAAATCAAATGAAATAAAAACAAATTGTTATTAGTTTTATTCTCTGGGGAATAGGCGTACGGGGATATCTGCCACATACTTTACTTCAAAGTCTTTCTGTTTGTTTATCTAGCAATGTATACGAACAAAATCAACAAGGTTATATAGCCCTGGAGCCCTGGTTATCGATCGACTGTCAAAAAAGGCGACTGATTTAAAGAATATTAGGCCAATAATTTGAGGATCGAAACGGGAAATCCATTGTAAAAAATGTGAGAAAAGTTTTTATTATTTTAACTTGTATATATGGGTTTAGACATGTAAAAAATAAAATTGCTAACGCAGGCCACCAACTTTTTACAGCCCAAAACGTCAGATTTTTTTCGAATATTTTTTGGGATTTTCAACTATAACTTCTAAACGATATATCAAAGCGAAAAATGTATTCTTTAATAAATTAATAGACGTTAAATTTTGCGTCAAACGACTACATAAGCTTTCAAATTTGGTTACGCGCCATTTTTGAAAGCAGTGGCTCTGGAACGGCAGACAAGGTTCTTTTTACTCAGAATAACATACCCTTTCGTAATTTACAATCAAACCCTCGCCTGCGATCAGGTCGAGTTTTGGGCCCTGGCTCCAGGGCTAATAGGGGAGGTTTAAAAGGAAGGTATAGAGAGTACCATTAGTAAAGGTCATTCCATTTGAACTGATAAGAATCAAATTATTCTGGTGGGTGACAGTAAACACTATTTCAATAATCAAGGTTTAAACTATTTCCTTACTTTTTATACAATATAGAAATTAAAAACTTTATTCTATTGCAATTTCATGGGTATTAAATAATGGAGGAATGGATAAAAAAGAATAAAGAAGAAAAGTTTCTTGGTCATGGGCTCTAACTTACTTGCAAATTGCACGATATCGTTAAAATTTTGTCTGTTCATGTTTTTGAGGGTATTGAATTTGAACTAAAGCCATTTAATCGACCATAAGCATGCATTAAAAGCAAAATAATAAAATATAAATTTGTATTTATCTTGGTATTGGTTTTTCTGTTTAAAAGTTACGTGAGTACATATGAAACATTATTGTTGCGCCACTATAATCTTCTAGTATAAAATAATTATAGATAAAATAAAATAATTGATGTGTATCTATATGAAATTTCATAAAAATAATTTTCAATCCACTTTTAGAAATCAAACTTTTTGCATCATGTGATATTGTACATTAAATCAGTTCTTAAACTATTATCAATCAAAGAATGGATATGAACTAGAAATGTTCAATCTGTCAACCGATATACTTAATAATAATAAAAGGCTTACCGGACCCGAAGGTTCGATGCCGACACCACCAATCGCTTGTTACACACCTCCCTCCACCGTTCGCCGTCCAAACCTGCTCCCTTCAGATCGGCTTTAATGCAATCTTCTCACCTTCCCTTCGGTCTACCCCTCGGACGTTTACCATTCGGTACAGCAAATATTAACCTTTTAGGAATTCTCTCGTTACAAAGCCCAACAATGTTACAAGCCCATTTGATTCGCCGGGATGAAATCAGCTCAATTATATTACCCGGATATAGTACACGCAATTCGGCGTTGTGTAACCGTCTGAACTCTCCGGTTAATTCATCCTTCTTCGGTCCGAATATTCAACGCAATACTTTATTTTCAAAAACCTTAAGACGTTGCTCATCCCTTAATGTAAGCGGCCAAGTTTCGCAACCATATGGAACTGTAGGTAAGACAATGGTTTTATAGATTCTAATTTTTAAGTTCTAGTAGCTATGTAGTTTTGTCACAGAAAAATAACAAGCATTTCCCTATATTAAATTTCGTTTTTTCTAATTATCGTAGAACCTATATACCTAAATTTCTCTACCTGCTCAAACATATTATCACCTATATCGATATCACCAATAATATCGCCATTTTTGCTGCTAACCATATATTTTGTCTAATCCGTGTTTATTTCGAGTCTTACTTCTTTACTTTTGGACAGATTATTACCGATTCTAACTTTATTGAGTGTTTCCGTCAAGCACATCCTGACTAGATTTACTATTTTTTTAGAATCCCCTGCTCGATTGGAATATTATACAATTTTTGGCGGTCAATAGAATCGTAAGCCTTTTTTAATTCGATATACAGCTGGTGAACAATACCACTGTACTCTATTTTTTTCTCTAATATTTGCCTGTATTAATATAATTAATATATTTGTTAGACAAGAACTTAACCGAAGATTTGGCCAGTTATACAGACTACTTCACAGAAAATCTAACTTCTCAATTGAAAACAAACTATTAACATACAAGACTATACTGAAAACCATCTGGCCCTACGGAATTGAACTGTGGGGGACAAATAAATTTTCGAACATCAAACGCATCC